TGGTGCTTCTGCTCTCCGAGGGGGGGGCCAGGGGTTGAGAAGAGATGGGTGTATGTCAGGAGTCAGAGTGGTAAATGTTTTTTTATTGTGGGCCGGGAGGGGAGGCTGCGCCATCTCAGAGGCGTTTCTAAATCTAATCTTTTTGAGTTGGGTTGGTTTTCTTTGAGGCTATATCTTAATGAGAGTCTAATTTTTTTTTTCTTCTTTTGTAGTAGGGGTTGGCGTCGAACTCTGTCTCCTGCGATGAGGGTCTTTGTGACATTGGGCGAGTGTGCCAGCAGTGTCAGGGCTGATGCACTTGATTCCGTTTTGGAGTCGAGAGGGCGATCGCGTTGCGCTCTTGTCATGCGCGTTGCTGGCTGAGGTTGTTGGGGTCGGTGTTCGGGGGGGGGGACGGGCCAGAGAGCTGGACGTATGGGCAGGTGGCGCGAGGTAAGCGGCGCGTGGAGGTAGGGATGTGTGAGCGGTGAGTTTGTGTTTGTGGTGGAAGAGATGGATGCGGCGATGTTGCCCAGGCTGGTTGTGGTTGCAGGATTCTGGGGCCGAGCGGAGTGAGGGTTGGGTCGCGACGTTTTGGGCCGGCGGGGTGGGGGTTTGCTCAATAATTGGCTGGGAGTGCTTCTATGTCAGGGTGGTATGGCCGACCTTTGTCTTTCCAATGTAATTAATTGCTTTGAATCTTGGGGGAGAGTGGAGGAAATGGAGTCTGGAAGCGTTCGCAGGGCGTTGAAGAGTGTGGTAGGGGGGTATTGGTGCAGCGTTGAAGTTTCGAGATATGTTAGATTTCATTCAAGCTTAATTAATCTTTGAGGGAAAATTGAGCAGTAGCGTGGTGGGTGTGTGGAGGAGACCGAGCTGTGGTGGGGGTGGAGTCAACACTGGCTGGGTCCTCCGATTAGGAGAGGTTTCAACACTTTATATCCATTTGCTGGTCACATTGCGGTGTGGGTGTTGGGGGGTGGTGTCTGTTTGTTAGGTCCTTATTGGGTTTGGTGGGGTGTGTTGACGCTAACTCCTTGTCTGCTTTAATTTCTGACTTTTCCAAAATTTTTCAGATGATGTCTCCTAGTCCCTTTGTTTAAGTAGTTAGTGGTTTTCAAACTATGTCCGCAACAGAACCCTCTCATTTTGGGGGAGTACCCTTGGAACTAAAGCAAACAGTGCTACCCCTCCTCCATGACTGACCTCAAACCTAAGTATCTCCAGATTCTATTTCATATGCTGACAATGCAGGTGAGAGCTGAGACCACATGCTTCTTCCTGTCTCCCACCTCCATTCAACATCAGTGCTCAGTTGAAAGTGACTTGAGTGAGTAAGTGGCCTTTTTAAAGGCCTTAGAAAAATGAGTTAGTTCAGGCCTGTGGCCCTAGTTGCTAGTTAGCCTTCGTTTTCCTTCCCTGGCAGCTGTAATTGGTGGAGGACTGCTTTTTTCCGTCAACATGGATGCACGGCCAGTGATGCCAACACCAAATATAACAGCCGAGCCGCCCAGATGTACCGGGAGAAGATCCGGCAGCTGGGGAGCGCAGCCCTGGCTAGGCATGGCACCGATGTAAGTGCCCGTTCCTGGGGCTGGGGCAGAAGGGTGGATGGGAGTGTTTAGAGTCCTGCATTTCAGGGGTGTCTTCTCCCTTCCAGCTTTGGATAGACAATATGAGTAGTGCTCCTAGTCACTCCCCGGAGAAGAAGGACTCTGATTTCTTCACAGAACATACTCAAGTGAGTTCCCACAAGGAATGTTTTCCTCTGTTGTTCTTGACAAGTGGTTTATTTACCAAGGCCTAGGCCTTCCGTGTTTACCAACATAAATTCCATTTGCCTTGGTGTGATATCTGTGATAGAGAATGTCTGGGGCCCACTGAGTTGGTGACTGCTGCTTGCTGGACAGGCCCCAGGGGGTTCCTTCTCTCATGAATGGGGATACAATTTGACCCTCCTTAAAAACAGACCCTTTTAAGCTGGGATGGTGGGAAAAAGGGGAAAGTTCACGATATGTCAAGGGCCCCCAAAACTTTTCCTAGATTCTTTCCCTGTATGAACAACTCTGTGCTTGGGAATAGTGAAAAGATTCCTTCCCGAGAGACCCACCCTTGTGAGGAGAGTTTCCCCTCTACTGGCACTAGGTGCCAAATTTGACTCCCTTACTGAATCCTTGCTTCTCTACTTAGCATTTCTGTGATGGTGACCATGTCACTTAACCTGTCAAAACCTCGGTTTCTAAAAAGGAGATGTATCTGAGACCTCATAGGGCTTGTTGTGAAAATTAAATGTGTTTTGTATATAAGGAGCCCTTAAACTTGTGCCTGGTACATGGTAAGTTCCCAATAGTTGTTTTTAACCACTTCGGTATGAGTGTCAACTATAGTTGACAGCCACAGATGAACGCGCATAGCCAAGTGTCAACTATAGTGGACAGCCACAGATGAACGTGCATAGCCGAGTGTCAACTATAGTGGACAGCCACAGATGAACGTGCATAGCCGAGTGTCAACTATAGTGGACAGCCACAGATGAACGTGCATAGCCGAGTGTCAACTATAGTGGACAGCCACAGATGAACCTAGCGTCAACTTTAGCAGACAGCCGTGGTATGAAGGTGCACAGCCGAGCGTCGACTTTAGCCGACAGCCGTGATATGACTTTTCTAATTTTCCATTTATCAAAATAAAATTGTGAACATTTAAAAATAACGTAATAAAAACACATATGTATGTGTTACCTATTCTGATTTACATTACAAGTAAAGCTGCCTGTAAAGTAAAAACAAGCTCTCAGTGCTTTAAAGCTTTCCTCATCACATAAGAAGAGCAAAACGGATTTGTCGTCAATGCACAGCACAAACTATCATGTAGAATATGAATGCCGGCTGTGGGCAAGGTTTCGTGAGCTTCGGTGAGCGCTGTACCGAAGTGGTTAAATTAGAAGAATGGGCTCTGGCTCTAAGTAAATAGTGGAGGGAGGTTTTGCTTGTATCTTGCTTCTTTCATCCTTAGTGAACAAGTTATAATTTTACTTGCTAACTTCCAGTCTCCTTTCCTTGTGGGCTTGGAGTAAGACCTTGTACTCACAAGGCATTTGTAGTTTCTTGGTGCTCCTTTCCAGCAAGAGTGGCTCACCAAGGCTTCTGTGGTCTGGCCTCCTTTTCAGCCCCCTGCCTGGGATGTGTCAGCCACTGAGCCTTCAGGGATGCAGCAGGCAGCCCCGTCTGCAGAGAGCAGTGGTCTGGCACGTGAGTTCAGCCCAGATTCCAACCAGGTGTTCTGATTCTAGGAAAGGACTTGGGGCTGGGAAAGGGACACCTGGCCACGGGAATGGGAGCGGGAGTCTTCCTATGTCTTTGGATGGATTGGGATTCATTTTAGTCTCTTTTTCCTTCTGGTGGCAAGCGGAGGAAAGCCAGTGACTCTTCTCTTAATGGGAGGTTTCAGGAAGCTGGGAGCCTTACGCCTAACTCTTACTGTTGCAGCCACAGAGCCGGAGCATGGCCCGAACACAGACCTGCTTGGCACCTCACCCAAAGCCACTCTGGGTCAGTATGCCACCTGGTGGGTGTGGGGTGGCTGGGAAAGAGTGGACCTCAAGTGTTCTTTTCAGATCTGCTGTGTGGTCATGTGGACTGAGGCTATAGGAGACTGAACATTTCACCTCTCTGGGGTGGGGACTGTGATTGAAATCATGGCTGCAACATTGATTTTAGAGCCAGACCCTTTGAATTGATTGATGAACCTTGATGGGTTGGTGTATAAGGCGTAGGGTCTCTGAGTGTGGCGCTGGGTCTAGCCAAAGTATGGGGAGGCCAGTATGAGATTAGACACCTATCCCTGGGGGCTGAGGCCAGGCTGGCCTGCATGGTCCATTTCACAGGGTGGAGGGACAAGTCTGAACTGGTGATGGCTGGAGATGACATTGTCTTTTCTCAGCCAGTCCCCAGTCTGTCCTTTAACTCTTTCTACTCTTTCCTTAATGTCCTTCAGACTTGGTTCAGGGTGAACAATCCATTTGCTAACCTCAGTTTGTTCTGTTGACTCTTGAGATTGGGGCAGGAAGCCAGCAGAACGACTGGCAAACTGATCCCTTGAGAAGACTGGCATAGCTTGGTCTGAAGCAGGGCTCCGTAAAGGCCCCTGGGCTTGGGAGCTATGTGGAGGCTCTGGGTGGGCCCTTTGTTAGCCACAAGTCTGTTTCTCCTCCAGAGTCCATGTATCTGTCAGCTAAAGGGGCCCTTCCTGCCAGAGGTAACCAAGAGCTGCCTAAGGAGCCTGGCCCCTTGCACGCCAGCTCTCTGCTCTAAGAGCTGAGGCTAGTTTTTGACATTTGCCACTGCCTTGCAGTCTTCATTTTGGTTCAGGGACTTTGACTGTCTCTGGTGCTTCAGGTCTAGGTTCCTGTCTCACTCTGCTGAAAGTCAGTAACCTCCCCTAACCTTGTCTGTCTTTGGCTTGGATGCCATTGGTTGGAACTGGTGGTAGCAGCTTTGCCTTTCCCTGCCTGAAGCAGTTTCTTTTTAGACGCTTTTGCCATGAAGCTGCATGGTGTGACTGAGTTGCTGCCTCTTACCTTCCTTTGTCTCAGCTCATGCCAACCATCTTTCTCACGCAGAACCGAAAAGCTCCATCATTGGCAAGAAGAAGCCAGCAGCAGCTAAGAAAGGGGTAGGTGGGGAGAGGCAGTATGGTAGAAATGTTAGGAGTTGGAGTTAGGCTGCCTGGGTTTACTCCTTGACCTTGCCACTTACTGGCTGTATGACTTTGGCAAAGGTACTTCATGTCTCTGAACCTTATCTATGAAAGGGATTTCAGGATGGCTATTTTCAAGCTGTTCCTGGGAGGAGTCAGTGAAATGGAGCTCATTTAGTGCTCAGCAAAGTGCTTGGCACATACCAAGCCGCAGTAGGCATTAACTGCTGTCCTCATACCCTGAGGCTCTGCTGGGGTTGTATGAGTCACCTTATGCCTGGCTCCAGCAGACCAGACCCACTGTTCTTTCTTGGCCATGCTGGCTGGGCTATTTTTTTTTTTTTTTTTTTTTGACCCTAAACATTAGGAAGGACCCTTTCCTTTTGGGTGTGGCTAGAGTGCCCAGACGTGGGAGGGATCAGAGGAGATTGTGGTTGTCAAGGCCTCATATCACATGATTCTCTTCCCAGCTGGGTGCCAAGAAGGGCCTAGGGGCTCAGAAGGTAAGCAGCCAGAGCTTCAGTGAGATTGAGCGGCAGGCACAGGTGGCAGAGAAGCTCCGTGAGCAGCAGGCAGCTGATGCCAAGAAGCAGGCTGAAGAGTCCATGTAAGTGTTTGCTGCAGGGGCCTCTGACACGTGTGGGGGTTGGTGGGTGGGCAGGTCAAAATGGGTGCTAGCCTCTGACATATTTGTTCCCTCCAAGGGTTGCCTCCATGCGCCTGGCCTACCAGGAGCTCCAGATTGATCGTAAGAAAGAGGAGAAGAAGCTACAGAACCTGGAAGGGAAGAAGCGAGAGCAGGCAGAAAGGTTGGGCATGGGCTTGGTATCACGAAGGTGAGGCTCAGCTCTGGATGTGGTGGGGAAATGGCATTGTTTCTGAGAACCATGGGGTCTGCCCAGTAGTTTGGGATTTTAGGCGTAGTCTTTCTCCAAGGCTGAATAGATCACTTTGCTTATTGTCTTAAAGCACTAGTATAATGCTTGGCCCATAGTAGGTATGTGTGTATTAAGTATTTGTTGAGTTAATAAAACATAGGATCAGGTGCTGTTTCAGTATATCGGATATAAAGGTGGTGTTTTTTTCTTTGAGACAGAGTCTCACTTTGTTGCCCTGGCTAGAGTGCCATGGCGTCAGCCTAGCTCACAGCAACCTCAAACTCCTGGGCTCGAGCAATCCTTCTGCCTCAGCCTCCTGAGTAGCTGGGACTCTAGGCATGCACCACCATGCCTGGCTAATTTTTTCTATATATTTTTAGCTGTTCAATTAACTTCTTTCTATTTTTGGTAGAGACAGGGTCTTGCTCTTGCGCAGGCTGGTCTTGAACTCCTCAGCTCAAACAATCCACCCACCTCGGCCTCCCAAAGTGCTAGGATTACAGGTGTGAGCCACTGTGCCCGGCCAAGGTGGTGTTTAATGGTACTTTGAGTGGTGGTCTTTTTCAAGACTGCCCTGAGAATTGCAGGGCTTTTGGCATCCCTAATCCCTAAACAGTTAAATGTTAGTTATGCTACTAAATACTATAATAATACCCAAAATGCCTCCCACCTCCATTTCAAATGCCTTGAGTTGGGCAGAATCCTTATTTCAGAACCACTGGGTTTATGTTGCTGTGGTTTTCTTAACAACAAAAACAACGGCTGAAAACAAGCTCTCTGATACATTTTGTTTGAACTAACACTATGAGTTAATAAGAGTAATAGATATTAGTAAATAGATTTTCTTGCTCTGTCACCCAGGCTGGAGTGCAGTGGTGTAATATTAGCTCACTGCAGTGTCAAACTCCTGGGCTTAAGCAGTCCTCCTGCCTTAGCCTCCTGAGTAGCTAGGATTATAGGTGTGAACCACTGTGCCTGGCTAGTAATGGTAGATATTTTTTTTTTTTTTTAGACAGAGTCTCGCTTTGTTGCCCAGGCTAGAGTGAGTGCCGTGGCAGTCAGCCTACCTCACAGCAACCTCAAACTCCTGGGCTCAAGCAATCCTGCTGCCTCAGCCTCCCGAGTATGGGACTACAAGCATGCACCACCAATGCCCAGCTAATTTTTTCTCTATATATTAGTTGGCCAATTAATTTCTTCTATTTATAGTAGAGACGGGGGTCTCACTCTTGCTCAGGCTGGTTTCGAACTCCTGACTCTCGAGTAATCTGCCCACCTCGGCTTCCCCAGCATGCTAGGATTACAGGCGTGAGCCACTGCGCCGGCCTAGATTTTTGTTCTCTTAAAAAATTGAATATCTGCGGGCGTGGTGGCTCATGCTGTGGATCCTACACCTTGCGAGGCCAAGGTTGGAGGCTTACTTGAGGCTAGGAGTTCAAGACCAGGCTGAGCAGAGTGAACCTGTCCTACAAAAAATAGAAAAATTAGTTGGGCATGGTGGCAAGTGTCTTATTCCCAGATATTTGAGAGCTAAGGCAGCAGGGGCGATTAATGGGTATGCTAATGCTCACATTGTGCTTGCTGCTCTGCTTTTTTATAACAAGCTCTGTTCCCACTCGGGCTGTCTGAGAGTGCAGGTGGATTGAGCAGGAAACCCCAGTGAGTGCAAAATCCTCGTCGCTCGGCTGGACTTGTTTGATGATGTTGGTAACTTTCGCCTCTGACCCCCAAAGTAAGGTATGGTTGGGGGAGACTCAGTTACCATGTTCCTCATCAGTTCTCTGCAGCCACTCTACTGTCTTCCTACGTACACATGGACAACCCTTTTCTTTGGGGGAAAGTTTGTTCCCGTTTGGGATCAGATCTGCCTGAGGTATGGACAGGTAGAGGAGAAGGAAGCCAGAAGTGACGATCTCAGCATCCCCTATTTCAGTAAAGGTAGAGGTTCTAGGCAAGCACGTCTAGTAGAATCTTTGTGATGATAGAAGTCTCTTGTATCTGTGGCTCTTGAATATGGTCAGCCACTTAGGTTTGTGCAATTGGCTTTGTGCCCAAAAATGTGCTAGTACAACTGAGGACTGATTTCTAATGTAACGTTGGATTATAATTTTTAATAAACAATAGCCGTTATTGTGGCCAGTGGCTACCATTAGTATAGGATTAGGCTTTGATTTGAGCTGTGCTTTTGTCATCACAGAGGTCATGGCAGCCTCTTTTGCTGGGAGCCATTTCTCTGGCAGGAAGGCCCTGATTTTATGCTTCAGTCGTAACCTCCCTCCCAAGGGTTATGTGTCTCTGGCCTCATCCTACTCTTTTTTTTTAAAAAAACCCATTCTATCTTAGTCTCTGAGCAATGTTTGTTTAGATGAATTATCTGTAAATCATCCATTGGAAAATGGGATAAGTAACTATTTCACAGGGTGGCTGGAAGGATTAAATGTAATGACACTGAAAAACACTAGTCTGGTGTCTGTGCACCATTAGTGCTAGATACGCGCAGCCCTGTGTACCTTTTCATTTATGCATTGATCCTTTTAAGAGTAAGGGTGGGGGTGTGTGTGTGTTATTACTAGTTATGACAAGAGAGTAGGTATAAACCCAGGCAAACTGAGACATATGGTCACCCTGATGTTAGGCAGTTGTGACTAGGAGTAGGGCAGCAATAGTGACGTATGGCCTCCGGACCTTGATCAAGCTGTAGTGGTTAGGGAAGGCTAGGCTCCTCCAGACCCTATTCCCATCTGCTCTGGTGTTGGTAACTTGGTCTCTGTGCCTTGGCTTCAGTGTGGAGAAAGCACGAGCCATAGGATCCCTTTGGAGGCTTCTCACCGGGAAGAGGGTCCCTGAGTCCCAGAGCCACAGACGAATGGGGCCTGAAACCTACCATCCTCCAAAAGGCCACTGGTGCTTTTTTTGGCCTCTGTACTCTGCTTCCCCTGATGGTAATGGGAGGGGTCAGAGATGTTCCATGTCTGCACTTCAGAGCCACAACGGAGGGAAGTAGGAAGGCCGGACTAGGCCCGAGTCCAGTGAGGCACGGCAGAAATTTGCAGGAGCCAAAGCCATCTCCTCTGACATGTTCTTTGGGCGGGAGGTGGATGTTGAGGTAAGTGGAATTGTCTACCTTGAGGCTGGAGGCAGCAGGTAGAAGTGAGAGTTTTCTCCCTGCCACCACTTTGGGCTTTGGCCCCAGGGTGGCTTGGCCTCTGTGAGTCCTTGGGTTATTGGCCAGTATCCCCAGGCCTTGTCTCTTCCTCACCACAGTATGAAGCCAGGTCTCGGCTACAGCAGCTCTCAGGCAGCAGCGCCATCAGCTCTTCAGACCTCTTTGGGGACATGGATGGAGCTCATGGAGCAGGTAGGGCCCCAGTGGGGTGGGAGGACCACACCATGCCTGTGAACAGAGTGGGAGGCCCCTGCCGGGCTCTGGGTCACCCTTTCCCTTGCTTTTACAGGAAGTGTATCTCTGGGGAATGTGCTCCGAAGTGACATTGCCCGTTTAACAGGGTGTGAAGTCTGTGGCTGGGAAAATGGCTGTGCTGGCCAATGGTGTGATGAATTCGCTGCAGGTGAGGCTGGGCCCACTTAACTTGGGGAGGGGCCTACCGAGTAGTGCTTGGGGGTTTCCTTCACCACTTTTAGACACTGCTCATAGGGTAAGCTATTCTACAGGCATTTTCTTTTACTTGAGGTGCGAATTCCTTCCTTTCAGTTCTGTACCAGGACTGGGCCTCTCTCTAAGATGATGGCATGTCTGCACTGATTTTCCTCTGTTCTTGCCACTCGTACTAGTTTTTCTCTTCCCTGCCCAGTTTCTGTGAGATCTGGTAGTGCTTCCTCCAAGCTGGGCCTAAGTGCCTAACATGCCCCAGCTCTTCCTGTTACTTCACTTGCGTGGTGCCCAGCCCTATGGTCCGACCCCAGTTTCTTGCTGTGGGGGTATGTGGGGAGAGGCAGTGTGCATGCAGGGAAGCTGCTGCAGGTTAGGGACTCTGACTTCATTTTTTCTCTCCCCATCCCCAGGATCGCTACGGTATCCTACTGATGCAAGCTCCATGGCTCAGTGTATGGTGCGGACAGAGCCAGAGGCCCATGAAATTCCCAGGCGCAGGGAATCGCTTGCCTTTGTTGGAACCGGGGGAGGGAATTTGCTTTACTTTGATGTGGTGTGTTGGGGTGGCCTCTAGAGGATCTTGGGTGAGGAATGGTCAGTACCAGCCCTTGTTCCTCTGCCTATGGATTAAGCCCTTTGTATTTCTCCCTCACAACCCTCCTCTGTGATTGTACGATTATTGTCCTTCTTAATTCTGCCCCCCAAAGCTGCTGCTCCCTTGTCCCCAACTGGGGAGTGGGTTCTCTTTGGGGGGATGGTTATTCTAGGGTCAGTCCTCCCCAAGTAGTAGGGTAAAATGTATAGTGTGTATTGTGGGGGCTCCTAGGTCCTTCCAGGTAGTCTGAGGGCTTGGGCCTTGACCTCTGGACCAGGGGGCTAGAAGAGTGCTCTGTAAGACCAGTCCCCCAGGGGGAGAAGAGGGCTCTGGAACTTGCTGCTGGCTAGGGCCTTTGGTACCAGAGAGAGGGGAGGTGGGGAGGGGAAGGTTCTCATCTGGGCCTTACCAAGGGCTAGAACTTTTCCTGGTACTGAAAGGTTTCATTTAGGGATCAGACTGAAGGCCCTGAGTGTCCCTGTGTCACCACCCTTTTCAGGGTAATCCCACTGGGAGGGTTACTGTCTCCTTAGGTTGTCTCAGATCTTCTCATACCACTGCTGTGGGACTTGTTGTCCCCTCCTGAGATTTTCCCCTGTTCCTTCCCCTGGTCGTAGCAATGGTGGATCTCCTCTGCCGTGTCCTGACTCGATGCTTGGTGAGTGTAATATGGCCAAGGGAGCAGGAGGACATGAGGTGATAGAAGCAGGCTCCTGGGCTCAGCTTTTTTCCTCGGCTTAGGGGGGACCTGGACAGCACCCCACCAGGCGAGGCATTTTTGAGGCCATACCAAAGACTGCAAGGCCCACCCTCTGGCAGGCTGGGCAATGCACTGTGTCATCTTGGTGCCATTTTCCCCTGCCATTTAGCTTGGCAGTCTGGGCCCAACCTCTACTTTGGGTTGCTAGGTTGGACTGCCCCAGCAACACAGGCCACTCTTCCCCTCCCCCTCACCAGAGGGTGTGACTTTCTTTCTGGACTGTTTATTGAACAAAGTGGGTGTCCAAAATAAAGCCCCACGGAGGCCCTGGGTCCCCGGTTTGGTCATCAAATGAAGGTAG